CTGCAGTACATCTGCCCCACATGGAAAAAAGACAGCAGAAACACATCTGCAGACGAGGGATTTTGACAAACTTCTTCAGATAGGAAGTGAGGGCTGGCTTAGTGGAATAGCCTGGGTGGGAATAAGCAGAAAAATAGCCCTTGCTAGAGGATAGCTTGGGTGACCATCCAACACTGTGGTGAGGCAAACGGTGCTCTATTAATCACGATGGCAGGACCGCAGGTGATCCAGGAACTCCCTACACCACCCCCTATTCCGGGCCACAGAACTGCAGCAGATAGTCTGTCTGCTCAGAGGTGGGAGGACCTCCTTTCAGGGACCTGACATTAGGATGCTCCAGCAGTTCCTAAAGTTAATGGGGAGAGAATAGTGCCAGTCAGCCCTTTCCTTCCTCCCTTATACACAGGAGTAGAATAAAAAGGAAAGCCAGACACTTGGGGACAGTGTCTAATAGGAGGTCCCAAGACCAAAGAAGAAAAGAACCACAAAGAGAATTAAAAAATGCAGGAAGCAAAAAGTTCCCCTCACCTCTAAACCTACTATATCCCTAAAACAGCACAGGATGTTCTGGGAAAAGAATAAGGGGCATTCAAAGAACAATAACGATATCTTGGAAATTTAAAACACGATTGCTGATGTTCAAAAGCCCAGCAGCCACGCTCCTAGCAGCACTGAGGACCTTGAGGCCTTCCTCAAATTCCCATGGGAAAGCACCCTCTGAGCTCATTCTCTCCTCAGCCTGACGCCCAAAAAGCCCGAGGTCAGAGTAAGGTGCTTTGAGACCTGCGAGTTTTCTCATTATCTATTCCCATGCGATTGGCCACTTCAAAACTTAGTGGCTAAAATAATCACAACGTAACCTGGGGCTTCGTGACCTGGCTCGCCCCTCAGAGCAGTTCTTTGAGGGTCATCCTGGGCTAGTCAACCCACCTTTGGGCCCCACTGGGGACAGGCTGGAATGACAGAAAGCTTTATCCCCCTTACCTCTCATCTGACAACAAGGCCATGCCTCCCCAGTGGCAGAGGGTCCTCAGGGCAGCAAAAGAGAGAGGTCAAGGCCCAACACACAAGCCCAAATGATGTACAAGTTTAGCCCAAAATTCAAGTGAATAGAGGAACCCTGTTTCCCTCTCTCTCTCTCTCTCTTTTTTTTAAATAATTTATTGTCAAGTTAGCTAACCTATAGTGTATACAGTGTGCCCTTGGCTTCTGGAGTAGATTCCCACAATTCATCACTTACGTACAACACCCAATGCTCATCCCAACAAGTGCTCTTCTCAATGCCCATCTCCCATTTTCCCCACCCACATCAACCCTCAGTTTGTTCTCTGTATTTAAGAGCCTCTTATGGTTTACCTCCTTCTCTGTTTGTAACTTATTTTTCCTTCCCTTCCCCTAAGGTCTTCTGTTAAGTTTCTCAAATTCCACATATGAGTGAAAACATATACTATCTGTCTTCTTCTGAATGGCTTATTTCACTTCATAATACCCTCCAGTTCCATCCACATTGCTGCAATTGGCAAGATTTCATTCTTTTTCATCACCAAGTAGTATTCCATTGTGTGTATATATATACACATATACATATATGTATGTGTATACATATACGCATACATGTATGTATATGTATATATGTACATATATGTGTATATGTATATGTACATATATGTGTGCATGTATGTATATGTGTGCATATATGTGTGTATATGTGTATATGTGTGCATATATGTGTGTGTATGTACATATATGTATATGTGTGTGCGTATATGTATACATATATGTATACGTGTATGTATATGTATATACATATACATATATGTACATATATATGTATATATGTATATGTGTGTGTATGTATACATACATATGTATATGTATATATGTATATGTATATATTTATATGTGTGTATACATACATATGTATATGTATGTATATATGTGTATATATATACATATATATGTATGTACATATATATACATATACATATATATATATATATTCACATACCACATCTTCTTTATCTATTCATTAGTTGATGGACATTTGGGTTCTTTCCATGATTTGGCTATTGTTGAAAGCACTGCTATAAACATTGAGGTACATGTACCGCTATGAATCAGCACTCCTGTATCCTTTGGATAAATTCCTAATAGTGCTATTGATGGGTCATAGGGTAGTTTTATTTTTAATTTTTTGAGGACCCTTCACACTGTTTTCCTGAGTAGCTGTACCAGTTTGCATTCCCATCAAGAGTGCAAGAGGGTAGGAACGTTATCTCTTGATGTGAGGAGGGCAAAGTACAAGGAGAGGGACAAGGGCAAGGAGAGAATGGATTTGTGGCCATTTCTACCACTCAAGGACTTAAGTTTTGCCTGATCCACCTTTCTGAGGATGTTGAGGATGGGCTTCCACAGAACAAGGGAAGACACTGAGAAAGAGGAAGGCATGGAACCAGGACTTCCAGGAGCAGTGGGGAAGGCTGTGGTAAGACAGGCCACATAACGTTCCGCTAGAAAGAGGGGAGGAGCAGCAAACCTGGGGCCTGAATCTGGCTCTAGCATTGGATGTGTGATCTGCAGCCATTAAAAAGATTTCTGTTACGTAGGGGCGCCTGGGTGGCTCAGTCAGGTAAGTATCCAACTCCAGCTGAGGTCATGATCTTGCGATCCGTGAGTTCGAGCCCCACATCAGGTTCTGTGCTGGAGCCTGCTTTGGATTCTGTCTCTCTCTCTCTCTCTCTCTCTCTCTGCCCCTTCCCTGACTCAAACTTCTCTCTCTCTCTCTCTCTCTCTCTCTCTCTCAAAAAAAATAATAATAATAAACATTAAAATTTTTTTTAAAAAGATCTCTGTCACAGAACTACAATAAATAATCCTAAATTTGCATGGAACCACAAAAGACCCCAAATAGCCAAAAAATTCTTGAAAAAGAACACGACTGGAGGTATCACACTCTCAGATCTCAGGATTTATTACAAAGCTGTACTAATGGAAACAGTATGGTACAGGCACAAAAACAGACACATAGATCAATGGAACAGAATAGAAAACCCAGAAATAAACCCATTATTATATGATCATTTAATCTTGGACAAAGCAGGAAAGAATATCCAATGGAAAAAAGACAGTCTTTTCAACAAATGGTGTTGGGAAAACTGGACGGCAACATGCAGAAGAATGAAACTGGACCACTTTCTTATGCTGTACATAAAAACAAATTCAAAATGGATGAAAGACCTAAATATGAGACAGGAAACCATCAAAATCCTAGAAGAGAGCAGTAATTTTTTTTTAATTACAGGCAGTAATTTCTCTGACATCAGCCATAGCAACATTTTTCTAGATATGTCTCCTGAGGCAAGGGAAACAAAAGCAAAAACAAACTATTAGGACTTCATTGAAAGAAAAAGCCTCTGCACAACAAAGGACATGGTCAACAAAACTAAAAGACAGCCTCCTGAATGGGAGAAGATACTTGTAAATGACATATCCAATAAAGGGTTACCATCCAAAATATATAAAGAACTAATAAAACTCAACACCCAAAAAATAAATAATCCGCTTTAAAAATGGGCAGAAGTAGAGGCACCTGGGTGGCTCAGTCGGTTGAGCGTCCGACTTCAGCTCAGGTCATGATCTCACAGCTCGTGAGTTCGAGCCCCGCGTCGGGCTCTGTGCTGACAGCTCAGAGCCTGGAGCCTGCTTCGGATTCTGTGTCTCCCTCCCTCTCTGCCCCTAACCCACTCGCATTCTATCTCGGTCACTCTCAAAAAGAAATAAAGGTTAAAAAAAACTTATTTTAATGAGCAGAAGTCATGAACAGACATTTCTCCAAAGAAGACATCCAGATGGCCAACAGACACATGAAAAGATGCTCAACATCACGCATCCTCTGGGAAATACAAAGCAAAACCACAATGATATATCACCTCACACCTGTCAGAATGGCTAAAATCAACAACAGAGAAAACAACAAGTGGTGGCAAGGATGTGGAGAGAAAGGAACCCTCGTGCACTGTCGGTAGGAATGCAAACTGGTGCAGCCACTCTGTAAAACAGTGTGAGGGTTCCTCAAAAAATTGAAAATAGAACCACCATATTATCCAGTAATTCCACTACTGGGTATTTACCCAAAGAATACAAAAATGCCAATTTGAAAAGATACATAGATATATCTACCCCCAATATTTACAGCAGCATTATCAATAATAGCCAAACTACAGAAGCAGCCCAAGTGTCCATCAATAGATGAACGGGTAAAGAAGATATGGTGTATATATACAATGAAATATTACTCATCCATTAAAAAAAAAAAAAAAGGAGTGAAATCTTCCCATTTGCAACAGTAGGGATGGATATAGAGGATATAATCCTCAGTAAAATAAGACCGTCAAAGACAAATGTCGTATGATTTCACCCACACATGGAATTTATGAAACAAAACAAAGAAAGAAAAAACAGACTCTTAATTATAGAGAAGAGACATGGTTTCCAGAGAGGAGGTGGGGGGGGGGGGCAGGGAATGGGAAAATAGGTGATGGGGATTAAGGAGGCACTGGTTGTGATGAGCACTGGGTGGTTATGGATGTGTTGAATAACCATATTTTACCCTGAAACTAATATAACACTGTATGCTAACTATACTCCAGTTAAAAATTTTTGAATAAAGTTCTCTGAGAGGTGGGGGAAGGCCTCTGAAATGCTGAAGAACAATCTTGAATCTGCTTCCATCACTTAACAGTGATGTGACTTTGGGCAAGTGACACAATGTCTTTGTGCCTCAGCTTCCCCACCAATAAGGAGGATGATAATCATCCTTACAGAACCATTAAAGTAAATGTTTAATAAATGATTTTTTAAAAGTAAAATCCCAAAGATAGGTCAGGTAAAAAAGCCAGGTGGTGGGCTAACCTCTTCTGTGTGATGAGGAGGTGAGGGCGCAGGGCGCTCGGCTGTGCAGAATGTGCAGCCAACCCCAGAAAGAGCTTCATGCCCAGGCTTGTGGGTGGTGGGGGGCGGGGGACTCAGGGGGGAGAGTCACACTGGACACCTTGTTTGGCGTTTGTTTTTGTTTTAACCTTGTGTCTGCATGATCTGTTTCATGTTTTCAGAAAATAGCTAAGGCTGGTGAGTGAGCTAGGGTGAAGAAGAGGCAGAGGGGGTGAGTGGAGGAGGGTACTTCAAAAACAGGGATGGGGTGGGAGGGGCCCCACCAGCCCTGGCTCTGGCCACCGCCCTGGCCCATTGTGACCTCCCTGGATGTGCCCAGGCCTTTGTGACAGGCACCCTTGAGGAAGACCTGTGAGCCATGACACCTAGAGGGCCCTCAATAAGAGGGTGGCACGTCAGGCCAGGCCAGAGCCTGGACCTGGGGTTTAGAAGGGGTTATGGAGGGGCCAAAAACCCTGGGTCCCTGTGGCCACTCCCACCCCCGACGCCCCCAACCATCAGCTTCGAGCAGCCATGCAGGATGCTTGGATCCACCCTGCCAGGGGTTTGTAAGATGGCCCTGCCTGGTACCTCTCAGCTCCACCCTCTCAATAGAGTCGGCCAGACCTTTCCCACCTCCGGGGGTAGGAGGCGGGGGGCCCAGGGTAGGGGCTGAGGTACCTGGGAGCTTTATGGCAAATGAAGAGGGAGAGATGCAGCGACAGGGACCGAGAGACCCAACGGGGACAAAACGAGGGCAAGAGGAGGCAAGGCTGGGGTGGGGCTGGCCCCTGCACTCAGGACGAGAGCAAGGGGCCCCCAGGCCAGGGGGATCCCCCAGCTCAGGGCCCAGACCCGGCCCTTGCCCACCCCTGCCAACAGGGGCAGGGACCCCGGCTTCACCCAGGGCAGCCCCCTCCCAGCTCCAGAACGTGCCCCTGGGTCCTGCAGAGCAGTCCTTCTTCCAGCTGGCGCAGGAAAACCAGAATCTGGTAAGTGAAGAGCCCACCGAGGCTGTGGGGCCAGCCCAGGCTCAGAGCCCATCTGTGCAATGGGTTTGAAGCTGTTCGCAGAGCCGCAGCTTCTGCCCCAGCCCCCACTGTCTCAGTCCCCTGCCCAAGAAGCGGCTATGACAAGCACGCCCATCTTTCTGCCTCCCATCCTCAGAAAAGACAGAACCAGGATCTGCGAGAGCAGCTGGGGGCCCTCCTGGGGCCAGGGCAGCAGTTTCTGCCCCTATGCCCGGAGCACTCGAGCTGCACGACCCTGGCCTGGGTAAGTGCATGGCCGACATCTGGCCCCAGCTGGACAGAGGGCAGCTGTCAGGAATGACCCAGTGACTCCATGTACCATACCCCTGCTCTGGCTCTCAAGCAGTCCGTGACCACAGATGCTGCCCATGGCCTTGGGGCTGACCCAAGGGCTCTTCCACAGACCCCTGAGCAGACCAGTTCCCAGCCCCTGGAGGACAGGGCACCCTTGCAGCTGCTGCGGCAGGAGCTGTGCCGGGGGGAAGAGTCCTTCGTGCAGCAGTCTCAGGTGGGTCCCTGGGAACTGGGCTGAGGGGGCCGGGTCCTTCATGCAGCAGTCTCAGGTGGGTCCCCAGGAGTTGGGCCAGAGGTGGGGGGCAGGGGTTCTTTATGCAAGCAGTCCTAAGTGGCTAGAGGAAGAAAGAACTGACACTGCTGGCCTTGCCTGTGCCCACATGGTGCCCATCCTCCAGAATGAACTGCAGCAGATCCGACTGTCCTTTGAGAGGAAGAAGATGGCCATTACCGAGGTGCCTGCCTGGCTGGGATGGGACAGCTGCTGGGGGACCCACCTGGTGGGACACATCATGGGTCCTGTTCCTTGGAGCGTGTGACCCAGCCTCCCCTCTCCCACCAGGTATGGGATGGCGTGGCCGAGGTACATATGGCCCTGAACAACCAGGCCACTGGGCTCCTGGTAGGTCCTCAAAGGGTGACACCCGGAGAATGAAGGGAACAGGGACTAGGCAAAGTGTGCAGGGGCAGGGGAGCTTTGAGAAACAGGGGAATATAGCAGAATAGTCAGGGTTAAAGGACCTGTCTTACTTCCTTTGCCTCCCCCCCGCCCCCCGCCAGAACCTTAAGAAGGACATCCGGGGAGTACTAGACCAGATGGAGGACATTCAGCTGGAGATTCTAGGGTGATGTGCAGGGTCAGGGGTCTGGGGCCCTGGCTGAACTGGGAAAGGGGCTGGTGTTCTGACCAGGATGGGTGGATCAACCCCTGACCCCTCCCCAGTTCCACTACACCAGACCGAGAGGTGCTGCAGGCTGGGGTGGGGGACATACATGGCCCTGACTGTACAGCCCCCGTCCCCAGGGAGCGTGCCCAGTGCCGCACCCAGGCCAGGAAGGAGCAGCAGATGGCATGCATAGCGGTAAGCCCCCCACCCCACACCCTTTCCCAGTCTGACCTCACCCTGGAGGCCCCTCTCAGGGAGGAGATGCAGGCTACAATGGAGGAGGCCC